AGAAAATGCTATAGCAGGTAAACATTTATAATCATCCTTCATTACAGCATCAGGATGAGGTCCACCTTTTCAGTCACTATCTCATATTGGGAGGGGAGGAAGGAATCTCAATACTATATAATGTGATTTCATTTTTAGAAAAGTACGTACACATTTACATATACTTAAACCTGGAAGGTTATACACTAAAATGCAAATTATGGTTTTCTCTAAATGGTAAAAGTATAATTTAAATTTCTGTGTACTTATGGTTAATTTTTTCCATAATAATTATTATTATGTGTATAAGAAAGAAATTATACAAAGTTTATAAGAAGACAAAAGCAATTTTCCTAAATACTCCCCATACCCCCACGGAGGGGTTTCGGGGAGTGTGAACATCCTGACTCCTTCCCTCCACCAGCTTCCTTTCTTTTTTTTCTGAGATAGTGTCTCACTATGTCCCCCTCAGTAGAGTGACCTGGCAACACAGTTCACAGCAACCTCAAACTCTTGGGCTTAAATGATTCTCTTGTCTCAGCCTCCCAAGTAGCTTGGACTATAGGTGTCTGCCATAGCCTCTGGCTACTTTTTTGTTGCAGTTGTCGTTGTTTAGCAGGCCTGGGCTGGGTTTGAACCTGCCAGCCCCAGTGTATGTGACTGGCACCCTAACCACTGAGCTATGGGCACTGAGCCCCTCCACTAGATTCTTGTACTCTATTCTTTCTTCTGTATCTGAGAGCTCACACATGCCACCCAAAGTGCCTTTTTTCTACTCCCAGACTTAATTGAATCTGTCTCAGAGATGCAACATGCAATAGATTTTCTGCTTTCATAAAAATTTCCCTGGAGCTTTAAGGAACTCTCTTTTTGAGATTTTGTAGTCTTTCATTTGCAATGGTCTTTTTTTCCACTTCAGTACCACCTCATCACAACACAAATCCCACAAATTCATCAGTAACCCCTCCATCTGGGGAGGTCTGTAACCACAAAGTAACTCACCTTGGAAAATACAGGACCACATTTTCTCTGCATCAGAACATTCCCTTTACCTCAGGAATATAGCTAATTTCTCATATCTAACTTTTCTTATACTCTGCAAAGTTGGGGCTTAAGGCAGCATCATAAAATCCTTTCTTCCCCACTATACAACTGTACAACCCCTTTATGCTTATCTACAGGCAACTCAGTCTTCTGGAACTTTCTTATTTTCCACACATGGCCAATCAGAGAACCAGCAACTGATACCACCTATGCCTTGTTTTAAACCCTGTCTCCAGGCTCAGTGCCTGTGGCTCAAGTGGCTAAGGTGCCAGCCATATACCCCTGAGCTGGCGGGTTCGAATCCAGCCCGGGCCCACCAAACAATGATGACTATAATCTGGAGGCAGGAGAATCTCTTGAGCCCAGGAGTTAGAGGTTGCTGTGAGCTGTGATGCCATTGTACTCTACCCAGGTTGACAGCTTGAGGTTCTGTCTCAAAAAACAAAACAAAACAAAACAAGACAAACAAAAAAACACCCTGTCTCCATCCTTCATCTTGTCATTAATTCTGACAACCAGGAAGGGTTCTTACCTGTAGGGGAGACTGAGTTGGTGCCCAAGGATGTGCATCCATTTTTGGAACTCATTTCAGAACAAGTGGTTTCCAAAGCCATATTCAGAAGAGGCCTTTGGCTTTTATCAGAAAACCTGTTTCAGTGCTTCCTAAATTATTTTATAAATGAAAACCAAACGTGATTATATCTCCTTCCTGTCACTCAACTTAGAGAGACCAGAGGCAACATATATATAAATACCCTGAAAGAGATCTCATGAGAACTGAAACTGCAATGTGGGACGCCTCAGTCCACAAAGGCCCAGTCCCCAGGATCTGCACAGTTAGAATTACAGCCTTAAACATACATCAGCAAGTGTGAGAAAAGTGGGAACTCAAAGTGGGGAGGAAAAAAATAGGAAGGAAAGCAAAAGAGGAACCAAGCAAGTAGATAAGTCTTTTTCTGAGAAGTGTGTGCACTGAACTCACCAGAAAAAATAAAATTTATGTGCTTCCTTATAAGCTAACATAATTACTCAAACACACACTTGCTCATGCTGCTTTCACCTCATCATTTCTGGGTAAGCAGGCAAATCCTTGGTACCACATGGTGAGAGGATCATTGACACAAACGCATACGGCAGCCTCCCTACCTTCAAGGCCCAGCTTCCTCTAGCTTAGTGGGGAAGGCAAAGCTTGAGTCCTGGGCCTTCTGAAGCTGCTCCTCCCTGCTCTGGGCTTTCCCTCATTGTTCTCTCTGATCCCATCATGAGTCTCCACTCATTCTGCTGCTTGTCACCTCCAGAACTCTGGAAAGTAGCTCTCCTTACTGGATGTTGGAGGAGGGACCAGCTTCCATTCCAGCCTTTAATTCTCATACCCCCTCAGCAAAAGGGTATCCAGGTACATGTGACTGTTTTAACAGGTAGGACCACATTATTGAAAGGGATAAACTTAAACAGAGGGATAAATATGACTTTTCCCCAATCCTCCAAGTGGAATCTTTCACAGACATGCTCCCTGCTCACACCTGAATTCTCTGGCCTCAGTCTCCCTAGTGATCCTCCTTTTGTCCTCCTCCACTTAACACCTCTCATGCATCACACAGTCAGTCTTTCTCTCTCTCTTTCTCACAGTGGTTCCCTGGTGATCTTTTAGACTTCCTTAGGTTCTAGCACCCCACACAAGGTCCTCTCCACGGGTGGAAGCCCTCTTCACCTTGTAGGGCTCTGAGTCCCACCCTG